AGAAAATACACTATGTGAAAGTGCAGAGAGCTGGAATATTGCATCTCCTTTCATTTTTTTCTATGTGAAGTCGAGTAATATGCCATGACTGACTGCTCATCACTCCCACCTGCACGGCTTACTAGCGTGTATCATACCGTAGTGGTGGCACTCTCCAGATTCTGTGCTGTAGGGTTAGGTCTATTCTCAAGGATTTGCCGTCTTATCGTATTGTACTAGTGTGATTCCTGACCTAATTCTGCTTGCGGGTGATCGGGAAATGCAGAGTACTACAATTTTTTGAGTGACAGGATTGATGGGTACTAACCTGTAATGGATGACAGTGTGTTGGGTGAGTACTACAAGTAGTACAGTACGCAATTGGCTTGGCAACGGTCTCTACCTGTATTTGGCCAGATTCTACGAGTACGGTACCGTATCCTGCCACCATCCCCATCTCCTTTCCCCACCCACAACCCACCCGCCCAACCCCACTCTCGCTCCTTAGAACACGTGAAACACACCCTACATGTTATACAAAACTACTATCGTACGACCGACGCCCCCCCGGAAGGTATTTTTGGATTGTGATCTGGTCGTGGGCTATAGCTATGGCTTCCTGATTGGGCCATTTGCGGCGGAGCCATATCACAGGTTTCCTGGGCCTGTACCATGAGGAAGATACTCCCGTCACATCACAGGCCACTGATGTCCACACCGACATCCATGCCCTACCCTGATGGTCCTGGTATGGTCCCCGCCATTTTCATAGTGCATCTCGTAGTCCTCGCGATACCCGAGTGCATTTTCGTCCTCGTCGTTCGGATTGGGACGTGGTTGTGGGCATAGGTGGCGGTAGTGGGGAGGGTACGGAAAGGTGGTTTGTGGTTTTCTAATTGAAAGATGACATTTTAAACCTTTGGTGTATATCGGTAAGATATACCACTATAAGGATTCAAGTCGGGTGATATGTTGGCCTTTCGGTTAGTTACCTGTATGTACATATATTACCGAGCTTGCTGATTGGATTACGGGAACTCTACTCGTACTCGAGTAGTGCGTTCATTCATGGCAGTGCCAATTATATGTATATAGAAATATTGCCTAGGGGCCCGCTTGCCTCATCTGTCCACCACACCAGTTCGTCCCCCCGAACCTCTTTCACCCTTTGGACATTTGATAAGCACTCCACGTTCTGTGATCTATGCTGTGCATCCAACATCTGAATTGTTGGTCTGGTAGAGGTGGAAGGCTCTGATATCAATTGTGGGGATAGTTTACCTATGAAACTACCCTGCCCATGCAGGCTGCTTGAACGGGCCTCCTCGCGCCGCCATGCGAGCACAATGGCACTGTTATAGCCTCCCGACATCCGCCACCTCCGGCACTGTCTAAGGCTTCGGGCGGACCACCTTCCTTATTATTAATCGGTGCCATTTCTGCAAAGGTCACAAGAACTCCGCAAGCACGCCCCTGGGGAGTTGTTGTGTTCCTACCTCTTCGAGGGGTGCCGTTCACTGGACAACCTGTGCGTATAAGGCCTCCTCTGTGGGCGTCTTTGGGGACTCCGCATTCGCTCCAGTCCAGCAGACCGGTGCCCCGGGGGGAGATATCCACCATACCGCTCACGTATCTGTTGAGCATATCCTCCACCAAGCCTTGCAATGGGTCGGGCCTTCGTTGGGCTAGCCCGGCCAAGGATTAGCCTTATTTTTAAGGTTTGTATGGTGTCTTGCAATCAGTATCACCGGGGAAACGATTGTCCGAGCACATGGCTTTCCAGAAGCGCGTTACTACAAGCGGTAAGATCCAACCCAACCATCTCTATATCTAGAATGTTTAGTGCAGAACTAATCCACATTGGATTCATGTGCTCTCAGATTGTCGCGCAGTTTGGAGGTTTGAAAGTTCAGATCTCGTCTTGCCACCCAATGAAATATCAGATCTTTTCGGTATCTCCCTCCTTCTTCCTATTTCCCACACCTATGTTGACCTCTGATCTCACTTCCCATCTGTTCCTAATACCAATACAAACCCGATGAGCTTCTCTTCTAACAGCGGTAGTTTTCTCTCAAGTCCTCTACCTATTCTGCGATCACCAAGTCCACAAGCAGAATTTCATCACCATCGATTCTACGAGTCTGAGCTTCCAGGTTCAGAATACTTGGAAGATCAGGAATTAGACCACGATCGCCTATTACCACCAAATGCCGGTATCAACTATGAGCGGTATTGTTCACATGCGGAGCCTGAACCTAGCGTTCAAAATCCTCTTCTGTGTGTATCTCCTCCTGAATCTCAACTTAATTGTCTTCCTGATTTTCCTTTTTCAATTGCTAATTTCCTTCCAGTTGGTGGCAGGAGAATCGTCAACAAAGCGAATACCCAACACTTGCGGCATGGGCAATTACGCTCCTATCAATTCCTGCCATGTCTTCCGAACCTGAATGAGTATTCTCAGGAGGCAAGAGGACTATTTCTGACTCCCGTCACTCTCTCAATGCTGAAACAATTGAGTTAACCGAGTGCCTCCGAAGTTGGCAGTCCATATAAAATTCACTCTTTCTATTGAAAATAATCACTACTATTTCTCACGGTGTTGTGTTCATCTCCTATTTCAAGCACCATCTGTTCTCATTGGCAATTCTGTATTTTAATCTAGTATTAATAGATCTACATTCATCTCTTTTATGGCTGTTCACCTGTGCGGGGGCCCGATGGGCTCGTTGGTTTAGCCCGGGCTATACTTCCTTGGGCCTTGGGCTGGGCCGGGTCGGCCCTTTTTTCGACCCGGGCTAGCCCATTGCAAGGCTTGTCCTCCACAGGCCGTTTTATTGTTATCACAGGGCGAGCCAACAACAACTCAGGAGAAGGGGCTGATGGGTCCCTCAAACGGTTTGGAAGTTTGATGTGAAAGTGGAAGAATTTGGAGTGGGAATTCAAAAGCGAGATTAGTTTTCCATAATTATAATATCAACTAATATACTGACCTTGGGTAGATGGTTTTCTATGCAGCTGGCTAAGATATAGTCATTAGGTGTGCCAATCATTTGATTTTCCTCTTTCGCTTTCAGTTTTCCACTCTTTATATAATTGTATTTTATCTTTTCAGTGGTCATTCCTCATGTGATGAAAAAATGGGTATTTTATATGGGAGAAATTGGCAGGAAGTGGTGGAGAGTTAGTTTATTTTACCACCAAGATGGTAAAGTTATGCCCGCTATAGCTAACCTATGAACAATCCTTTTCCTTCCTTTTCCCGCATATACTGCAACAACACCAGCCACACGACAATAGCTAGCTTAAAGATGAGTGCAAAGAAAGAAAATTAAGCAAGAAAAACCTCCCATTGCAAGATATTTTCAGTTAGCCCATCTAGTTAATAGTTCCCTAAGTGGCATATTCTTAACTTGCGAAATCAGTCCTGCGATCCTGCCAGGTCTCCGGTAAATAATCGCAGCTAGTATCATTAAGCCGACAGCTGTAGAGTCTCTGCATGACGGAAACGGTTGTCTTTCGGAAACCCTCTCAATCTAGTGGCTATCTCCAACTCGAATCTTTCCTGCCCATGCGGACCGGCCAGTATCTCCCCCACCATATCATGCCTTGGGGGGAAGTCGTGCTCGAATATCGGTTCCCCTTCTCCTCTGACATTCGCGAGGATCGATTGGCGGAAATGCCATCTGAGAAGTTGGTCGGAAACACGGTGGGGATCGTCCGGGTTGCGACACACGGGATCGAGAATTCTACCATCCAACCCGAAAATATCGATATCGAATCAACGATTTTGTAATTGTCGTCCGGGTTCACAGAAATAAGGTACTCCTCAAACCCAGTGCGTGTGCATGAGTCAAGAAGAAAAATCCATTCTGACTTGAATCAATTTTCGGAGTCCCAAGTGTATTGTCGATGTCTGTGATCTCTCGGTCATAATTGCACCGAGTCCAAAGACTTTCATGCTCAGGAGGGAATATATGGGCAGGTTGAAAACTACTCCAGTTATCGGCTTGGATATGGGCTTCAGGATTTATCAATCCCGAAATAACACATCTCCGGTCGCGATTACGGACTTCATGATAGAATCAATCATCTCTGGCGGTGGTATTAAGAGAAATCGACCGGGGTATCCAAGGTTCGTCACTGACTTGGATAGAGGCTGGCGAAATTAGAAATTAGGCTGCCTAGTAAATGGGTAAGATATAGCACATACCATCACAATAGATATCGTATACTCCTATTTTGAGCGGTGTATCCGTTCTGGATACGATATGGTGTGATGCCCTCTCTTGAACCCGTAGAGGGTTCCCCTCAACGATAAGTAAGATTCCGAGCATGTCCAGAAAGTTTGTCTCGGTTATAGATCCGTTCTGGAAAAAATCCCCCAAGAATCACATCAGGATTGGTAGCATCGTGAAAATAGACATTGCGGGGGAGAGAACGATTTAGAGCCATCGTTGGTGTTGGCAATTTGGAACTGGGGTAAGCAGGCAGTGGAGAGATCCTAGTGGCGATATTGCTGGGAATAGACGTAGTGGGGGTGGCAAGACAAATTTTTAAGAAGCTCAAAGAAGCACTCGCATGTGATCCAGCGGGACGAAAGCATCCACAATTTTGTTTTACGAAAATATTAGTCAGCTCAGCTATGAGAGAGTTTGGTTCTGGCTTTGGAGTTCGTTATGTACCCTAATGTGGCAGGAATATGTAGCTATCATGGTGGTGAATTTGAAGGACGGCTTCTAGAGATATTGTTTTTGTTTCCCTACTCTATAGAAGCGTCTAGCGCCGCGTACGTACCGCGATATAACTTTCCCCTCGGCCCCCTAGAATGGGTGGAAAGGAAAAGGGGGGGGGGGGATTATCGGGAGTGTCTTGGGTTGGGGTGGTTGGTTTAAAAAGGTGCGGTAGGACTCATTGTGCAGCCGCCCACTGGCGAGTGACTTGTGAAGTGTTGTCCATATGACTAGTATATTTCGTGCTTGTACAAGGATTTGATGTGTTACGGTAGCCTACTATACCTTCGCTACGGCAAATAAAGGATTTTCAGAAAGTATCTTACTAACCAGTTTGAACATTCACTTTGACTTTCTAACACCCTTGCGAGTGATATTATATGAACGCGTTGACCACTGCATCCACCAAAAGCATACCCTCATCGCGAAAGGCAACTTGTGTTCATCCACAAAGTACATACCGTACTGGCACCCCATATCAATACATGAAAGACTAAACATCGTGTCCACAAGTACCCACGTGTCTATCCCCCTCGGTCACGGTCCACTGGACAATATCCGTAGCGTCCTGTCTAACCAGAGTGTTAGTATTATTCTTAGGGATCAAGTTGTGTCCGTCATGAGCGACTACAGCGAGGACATGCGCGGCGGTCTAGACAATCCCCCCCCCAAAATTAGCTACCATCCATTCCAAGTGCGATGCACAAGGGGTGAATGAGTGTCATACCTTAGCGTTAATTGTCAAAACGGTAGAATTTGGATTCGTATAGTCGTCACAGGCCTGGTGATAGCACGGGTCCTGCTCAACTCCGGTTCCGGTGTGTAAACCCCCGATGGGCTTCTTCAGGGTATCCATGAAACTGGCATAGTCACTTGAACCGGTAAATGGCACCGGGGTGACGGTAATGCCTTTTCTAGTGAGGTCTTCGACAAAGAGCTTTTCAATGACGTCTGAGCCCGGGGGACCAGCGAGGCCATGGGTGCTGCCGTCGCCATCAAAGACGCCAAAGTAGCCCTTTGAGACCATGTCAAAGTTGAGGTAGAGGAGGATCTTGTCGACTTCTGTTTTGCTGAGGTGGGAGGTGTAGTACCTTGAACCGAGGAGTCCGCTCCTGAGTGGTGTTAACGGGGATCAGGGATGAGGGAGTGAGGGGGGAGTATTACTCCTCTGCGCCCCACCAGGCAAAGCGGATTTTGTTCTTGACTTCGTACTTCTTGAGAGCGGTAAGGAGTTCGAGAATCAAACTTGTCCCTGAACCGTCATCGTTGATTCCGGGACCCGCTTGGACGCTGTCTAAATGCGCGCCAAGCTATTGCTGACAGTTAGAGTTCCCCGCCAAAGTCAAGTGAATCGTGATATCAACTTACGATGATGACATTATTAGGATCACCACCCTTGGTCTCAGCAAAGACATTCTGAGTAACTCTAATCTCGATGAGCTGTGTCTGCTGGAAGTATGCAATGATATTCTCTCCAGCGAGAAGTCTCTTCTTCAAAGCTTCCCCGTCGACCTGGTTGATAAATCCACTGCTTACAAACCCCTCCGGATCCGGAGCAGACAATGTCCCACCCGTAACCTTCGTAGGAGAGTTATTGTAGATAATAACATTGGATGCGCCCGCCAATTTTGCTGGCCGGACTCTCCCAGCCAGAGTGCCGCCGGTTGGGCATGTTCCTCTCTCCACAAGCACAATCTTACCCTTCACGTCAAGGCCGGCATACCCATCCACGCTACAGGCAGCAGCACCCTCAGGCCCTAGGACAAGCGGGAGAGTCACACCCTCAGGAGGTGTGGATGGTGAATATGTGAGGCCCCAGACGTAGTAATCCGTTTCGCCAACTTTGAAGGATATGGACTCGACCCTGCTGAAGTTCGCAGGAAAGTCTTGAATCCAAGTGTCGAATGTACGAGAAAACCGATTGGTTCGCTCGGAAATATACTTTACCGAAGCCTCGAAGCCGGGAAAGCCAAAGGCACGATTCCCGCCATTGTCGCGTGCGATCTGATCCAGCTGTTTGAGGTTCTTCATCAACCTTCCTCTATTATCAGCAACTGAGGTACTCGGGACAAGTTTGGGGGATCGGAATGGACAACATACTCCACCTCCGTTACACCATTCTGCAACCCCTCCGAGGTAACAATTTCACCCCTTGCAGCCGTGGCCGCCAAAAATGCTGCGCAAATGTGAACCGAACTGAGCTTCATGGTGAGTGATAGTCAATTGGCGATGTTGCCCCTATTGAGTTCCCCCGCCCTCTTTATATAGTGGAAAATTATATTAAGCACCAAACACCCCTTGCTTTCGGGTTCGTACCGCTTTTGGTGGTATGATAAGGCTGCATCATTCCACATCGTATCTATTCCAAGGCGGTGCTATTCCAGGGCACCTACTCGAGTACTATACGAAGCGGAGGGCGACCGCTGGGTCTTGGGTTTATGGCTGATCCGGAGAAGCAGGAAGAGGTTCCGTTGAGCCAAGAATTTATAGTCGCCAACACCTTCCTTAACTATTGGTCTTGCTGTATTCTGGCAGTGGATTTTTCAATAATGGGTTGGATTGAGGCCTTTGAATGCAGCAATAGATAGTGTTGGATACTTTCGCACAGCGGGGCTCGCCCCGGTGCTTCCGGGAAAAGGCAGGAAGGGCCCCTGCGGGCATTTTGCCTCCACCCTTTTGAGCAACGCGGGTTATTGCATGTGTTTTTTCGGCAGAGACTGGGGCAACATGTAACCGTCACAATTTTACCGGTTTTGTAACACGTAACTCTAACTCATGATATGTTAGCCGGCTGACTCGTCCCGGTTCACTTTGAACACTGATAGACTGTCTTACTCGCTGGTGAAGTTTCTCGTATTGATACGACAGCGGATCTGCAACATATCAACTACTCTCTCGTAAGGACACATGGCATGGTACCTACTTGTACGGTAGCCAAGATGGCTAGGTTTCCTTCAGCCCTCGTACCGAGAATTCCCTCGCAGAATTTCGCGCTCCATTATTAGGCTGGTTCCAGCACTCAATCATTTGTGCAAGCACCTTCCTCCACCTTTCCTGGAATTTCATTGGTCAGTCTTGCAAGACGAGGAGTTAAGGATCCGATTGGCCTTTCAACAGGGCTTGTAGTATACTTGTGTAACCTCATCATCATATGAGGCAAAGCGATGGCACTCGAGGAAAAGCAGGAACCGTCCCCCAATATCGCGATATCCGCATACAGTGTCGATCCTTCCCGCCAGGATAGCAATAGTGCATCCAGCGCACGGTAGAATTCGCCCTGATTATGAGTGCGCTGACCTCACCATGTCTCAATCTTTTCACAAACACCGTATCGCCCAATTCCAGCTCTTTGCCTTGCCAAGCGATCCCCGCATGACTGAGTTTTTGGCCGGGGAATTTGGGCAGTGCAATATCGATGCCATAGACCTGCGGAATAATTTCCACCGGTCGAGATTTTAGAGCATCTCGCTAGACACTGACGGCCCAGGATTGCACAGTGCTACTGCTCCTCAGGATGCGATACGACACTCGAGCACAGTACCGTAGCGAAGAGCTCAGCTGCAATGAAGGTGGTTTTAAAATCTCCGAGGGTACGATTTCGATTTCGGTAATTTGATAGCATGACCCGATTCTGGACCCCATCTTCAGCACCAAGTGCTTCATTGAGGGCTTGGCGTTAAATAGGGTAGGGAGGGGGGGGGGTGTTCGTGTCATACTCGTGACACCGAAGGGTTTTTTTTAAAAAGGACTGCATACCAAATTTTAGTCCTTTCTCTCTCGCAATTTGATCTGGGCGGTAATGACCACAATAGTAGTCCTCCTTAAAAGCACTTCGTCACCAGGAGCGATATTTGTGCAACTCGTTTGGCTCCCAAGGGCCCACGAGACCCACCCGACTTCTGGGAAGAGATGGTATTGCCTCGGAGAAGCGGTCAAAGCCTGTTCACATGAGAGTCGAAGAGAAAAGGAAATGACTCTCTACCTATTCCTGCCGAATGAGCACCGCCCAGCATACCTGGGCCTGGCCAAAGCTGCGGGAATGATTGTGCTCCTAGGGGATTGTCAAATCCTTTTCGTGAGACCCAACCGTAAATACCAAATTAATCCACCCGGTCATACTGTACAGTACTGTACAAGGGTCAGTCACACTTGTCAGTCATGGTGGTACGAAGCTGGTAATAAAATCACTGGCAGTGCACTGTACGAGTACGAGCACAGTACTCGAGCAAGCGTCCCACACCAAAAGTAGCCGATTCCAAGTAGTTTAATCTCCTCTCAAGGTTGCTCAAAGAATACAAGAAAATACCAGTACGGTACTGTACAGTACAGGCTTTGGAACTATGCCCACAAAATTCAGTTTCCCAGACCAAAGCGCCAAGACCTAATTTCATGTTTGCTATGTTTAGTCGTGTAGTCGACAGACATCCCAGAAAAAATGGGAAGAAAAACCCAAATAATTCTCTTGGATAGTAAAATTTGGGCCTTATTTATGGAATAGAGGTGGTGTTATGATGTGTTCCCAACATGGCTACTTTGGGTGAAAAAGGCACATGTATCATATCGGTGATTTTTGTTCCCAGTTCAATACAGCGCATGAGTGCGTGTAGATTAACGTCTAAGTGGGTGCGGTACGCTTATGAGGAAAAGGTCACCATTATTATTTTCCCCCCACCACCCTAAAGACTAATAAAGGAAAGGCGCTGTGAGCCATGTCGATAACCTTATCCCAAGCTCAGCTAAAAGGGTGAATGCTATGATACCAGACTGTCCATGTAAGATATAGAGAATAAGTATCAGCCAATTGCATATCCCCTGACCATCGGAGGTAAGCTGGAAGCATGAGATTCACGGACCTCATCTTAAATTATTTTTCCGTGCTGAGATATTATTCGATAGCGGTGCGTCGGTCAACTCACAGAGTACTATGTACTGTACGTGTACAGTATCACCTCTTTCAAATTGTGTATCCCCGTGTCGCACGAGGATGATATCTCTACGGTACTCGTACTGGCGTCTTGACCAGCCCACGCACGGGCCATCAGAAGTAACCCAGTCCAGCAGTAGAACATCCTCAAACGGCTTTCAAAATTCAATTACAGTAGGTTCCTGTCCAAATAGGAAACAATATCGTGATACACGCTACACGCTTCGCACCGCAACCAGAACATCAACGATACCACCTCCTATCCTGAGATATCGCTTTAGCTTCCAGATACCTACCCTACCTACCCTTCTCGGTGCGTCTCGGCTAGCTGACTCGACTCCCGCCGAGGAACCACCCAGATCCGACGGACTTCCAGTTTGCATACAGTAACCCGGTGTGGTAAAAAAAAGTATGATATTATGATACCTCCTTCAAACACACACTAAGGAACCTCTTACACGCATGTCACAGCTGGCCATCATCACCACGCCTTCGCCCGGGGTATAAAAAAAAAAATACCTACAAAGACGTCCACCCCCCCACCACCAACGACTGGGACTTGACAAAGTCTCAAAAACACATTAACGATTTCAACTTTGGCACATCCGGCCGGAGTATCATATGATACCCAGACTACTGTGCTGTATAGACCCCAAAGGTTCCGGCGGAGGAAGTAAGCAAGTTGGCGAATAAACTGCGTCCCAGCGCACGTGAATCTCCCCAACCCATCATGACAAAACCCGGGTATGGTACTCCCTCTCCCTCCCTCCCTCCCTCCACGCAATGGCATGAAACCCACCAACACGAGCGCGGAAGGATGTCGTGCCCTTAGCGGGCAAGAAGTACAGTATCATACCCGAAAACGAGGACTCACGAAATAAATACGTGGGGGAAAAAAGGACCGCACCTACCTTATCAGTACGTATCTGAGCGCCCATACGAATCCTCGACCCCCTCTTTCTTTTTCGGAGAACTTTGCCCCCTACTGGCATCCCGTTCCTGCTATGTCAATCGATTCACACTAGGCGTGACCTACTACTAAATACATACCAAACGGCCCCACGCACCTCAAAGGAATC